TTTCTAATCCCCTCCATGTATCCCAGGAACTGCACCCAGTACCATCATACCCACTGATACCCTAGTGATTGCCCCAGCACCCTCCTAACCCCCCATGCACCCTAGCAACAGTGCTAGCACTACATCCCATAGCAGTGTCCCCAGTATCCTTCTAATCCCCCTATGCATCTCCAGTACCCTTGTAGCCCCTGTTACCCAGTACCCCAGCTCTGCAATAACTGCCCCTCTACCCGCATATCCCCCGTGTACCCTGAGAACTGCCCCCAGTACCCTCCTAATCTTCCCCATGCACCTTGGTGCCCCAGTAACTGCCCCCTGTGTCCCATCACTCCCCAGTCCTTGCCCCCTCACACCAGCATAGTCATGCCCCAGCCACCTTGGTGGGTCCTGCAGGTGCAGCCTCACATGGAGGAGCTGACAGAGCTGTACCGGGAGCTGAGCCAGCACCCAGGGCTCAGTGCCGCCTGCCTCGGCCCTGACCTCACCACCCAGTACGGGGGCAAGTACTGCAGCCTCTACACTGGTACGGGGATGGGGTGTCACCTTTTGTGGCCTAGGGAGGTCCGGGGGGCCCTGCCTGCCCCGTAAGGGATGCAGCAGGTGTTCTCACCCCACTCGTTGCAGAGTGGTCACAGCGGGACCTGGCAAGGGGCGAGAGCACCAAATTCTGCCGCCAGTACCTCATCTTCCATGATGGATCCTCCATCGTGTACTCAGGGCCTGCTGGCACCTGCTCTGAGATCAAGGGCGAGTGAGTCCCGTTCCACTCCCGCCCACAGGGTCCCTCAGGGTGCCAGTGCTCGGGGGCTGATGGCCACCCAACCACCCACAGGCTGCTGAGCCGTGAGTCCCCCAGCGGGATGCTGAAGGCTGTTCTGCGTGAGGTGCCCAGCAAGGAGAAAGAGAAGAAGCAGTTCCTGGAGGTGAGGAGGGATCTACAGGGAGCTGGATAGTCACTGAGGCTCAGGGTGGAATCCACAGTGCATGTCGGGGCTGCCCTGGTGCCTCTGCCTTCAGGTCTGGGATCAGAACCACAAGGTGAAGAGCATCGACCTGACAGCCCTGGACAAGCATGGCAGCATCTATGATGATGGTGAGGGGTTGGGGGATGCCAGGTGCTGTGGGATCCTGGGAGGACAAAGTGGCCAGTGCTGATTCACCCCTGCAGACCAGTTTGGGTGCCTCGCCTGGTCACACTCAGAGACCCACCTGCTCTATGTGGCGGAAAAAAAGCGTCCCAAGGCTGAGTCCTTCTTCCAGAGCAGAGCCCCCGAGCTGGGCACCTCTGACGAGGACGTGGGGCACCCCAAGAAGAAGGATCTGCCCCTCAAGGTGGGGTTTCCCTGCCCTGGAGTAGGTGGGGGCTGGTAGGGTGGCCGTGGGACTGACAATGCTGTTCCACAGGGTGAGCAGTTTGTGTACCATGAGGACTGGGGGGAGACGCTGAGCACCCGCAGCACGCCTGTCCTTTGCATCTTGGACATCGAGGGCAGCAGCATCTCAGTGCTGGAGGGCATCCCAGAGCACCTCTCTCCTGGCCAGGTCAGGATGGAACCTGCTGCAGGGAACCTGAGAAGGGAGGTTTTGGGAGCCCGCAGCAGGCTGAGCCATTCATCTCCCCTCTCTGCACAGGCTTTCTGGTCCCCCAAGGATACTGGTGTGGTGTTTGTGGGCTGGTGGCATGAG